TCATTCACGCATCCTCCTCGCCATCCGAATTGATATCAAAGTCCTCTTCTTCATCCAGTTAATCCTCTTCAGCAAGTCGTATCTAAGGCGCCTCGCGGACCCATTCGACAAAATGCTCGGATTTCTATAAAAGCAGACAAAAATCATATGATTCAAATTCTCTTGTCATTTCTAAAGATCTCTTTTGCCAAAATAAAATTAAACATTCCACTACAGAAGTAATATGTTATATTGTCCGATTTTTTTTGAAACATGAATCAGTTACTTGCACAAAATTTCCGAACGACCTTGCTAGTTTGTTTGTATGTGAAGCCTAAACGTCGCATTTGTCTCCAAAGAGTTGTTTCGCAGGTGATGGGGAAGTCGTTGAACTCATTCCTTATACTCTTCAGCAAATTGGCCACCGTCGGATATCGTTTTTCCGCCTAATACAAAAATTAATACAAGAAAAGTCACCCCGTTATCGATAATAAAGAATTTTGTCTTACGAGAATTCGGGCGAAATGCAAACGTATGACATCAGCGGCTTCACTCAAGACAACCCTCCGTCGAGCAGAACAGCCTTTCTTTTGCGGTGGTGGAGGCGTGGGAACTTCAATGGTCGTTGTAGCAGCGACGTGACTGGCCGACCAGGCCCGCTTCACTTTTCGGCTTCCGGTGGCCCATGGCGATACTGCAACAGGTGGTGAGACGGCGACAGCGGATCGCGTTCGAAGACGAGGGGTAGTTGGTGGCTCTTCGACGCGAGTGTCAATAGGTAATTCCACTGTCTTTTCTTGTTTCAGCTGACGAAGCTCGCTTCGAAGAGTTTTCACTGTTCTTTCGTCGATTCCAACTAGAGCCATGATGCGTCCTGTTGTACTTGTCAGAGGAATTTGTACTCCGTCTCTTTCGAGTCTACGAACTGGATTACTCAATAAAACACCTTCTTTAAATCAACCGAGAACTCCTCTCCCGTGGCATCTTGATTCAACAGGTGTTCACAGACGTTTTCATCAAAAACCTTTTTTCTCAACAATCCAGATCCACTTAATACCTGCCAAACCTGTTGGTTGGAGATTCAACCAAACACAAAAACCTGTTGTAGAGGTCGATAACTC